CCGAAGAGAGTGCTGTTTTCCATGCCCAATTCGGAGTGGCGTAAACAGAGAGGTGGCCAACCGATGACCTGGCAGAGGAGTATGAAGGAGATCACGAAACGCTTGGGTGCTGTCGGTGCTACTCGCCTTCCAGGATGGGGACCGCGTGATCCTCACTGTGCCTGGTTGGAGACACTACAAGATATGGCTGCCAACCGATGTCAGTGGCGTTCTTGTTGTCAGTTTCTGTCCAGATTGCCTGAGTGAATATCAGGAGGTGTAGGCACCTCGGAATGATTGTGTTAAGCTAGCACTAAGTCCCTCCCCCATCCACCTTTATTCTTTTCTTTACAATAAGGCTTTCAAATAAGTTGGCTGTACGACAGTGAAGCATTGGTGTTGAGCACTGATGTCATGCTGTCGTTGATGATGATGATGACAACCGAAGTATGTAATGTAATTGCTGCGCCCCATCAAAATGCAAGATATTACTGCAGGGGTGAAAAGAGCTAGGGTGTGATCCTTCTTAAAGTGACGAGAGCAGTCATGCTGTCGTTGATGATGATGATGACAACCGAAGTGAAAGATGTAATTGCTGCGCCCCATCAAAATGCAAGATATTACTGCAGGGGTGAAAAGAGCTAGGGTGTGATCCTTCTTAAAGTGACAGACTGAGAGCAGTCAGCAGCTTCATCTGCCTAAGACGCTGTCTTATCGGCGATGAAAGTTTTAGGGAAACGGATCTCATCTTGTGTCACCAGAGTCAGAGCGGCGTTCGCCAGTCTGAAGCGTGTGTGGTGACTCGCCTTTCGTCAAATGTGGAGGTCCCCGTTACTGCACGTTTATTTTTTTTATAAAAAAGGCACGAAGTACTACTTCCACCTAAGTGGTGTACCCTTGAGTGTAATTAGGAATTTTCACCTGAACAAGACCACTTGTGTTGGATGCCAACTGCACGTCAGCAATAATATGGTGGAGCGAGAGGTAATAAGTTCCAATGACTCCATTACAAGCGAGATTGTTTCGTCACATCAACTAAAGTGGCTTGCTCATTGCTCACTGTACTTCACCTCATTTGCGCAGTCTGAGTGTCAAGAGAGAAGCAATAAACAACGATGACAACATGCACCTTTGCATTATCCCTTATCAGTATGGTTTTGGAGATCGCAATCAGTGTAGGTGGGTTACATTGGATGTAGCTATAAGATGGCGGCAGCTGTGGGAACGTTCAGTATCTTCAAACTCACCTTCAGTCAGCCAAAGGACAAGCAACGGCAATCAAAATTTCTTGTAGCCTCTTCACTGATTGTGCATTTTTCTCGTACTAGATGCTTGGTTTAGCACGAAAACTCATATCAGTTTTGCGTAGGAAATATTATGAATGACACATCCAAATCAGGTTTGACCATCAATAGGGGGTCAAAACACAACGTCTGCGCTCAATAGGGGAGTCGCAGATGGTTTACAGTTTGTCGAATGTGGTGCTTTGTACAAACCCTTAGCGCCGGTGTTGACTTGACGGAATAATAAGTAATTCAGTTCGAACATCATTTCGGTATCTAGCTGCCGTGCCATCCGAAGGAAGCACCAGTGTTACTATACTGTGAGAGGTTACTCGAGCTTAGGCATGAACGGTCGAGGTATCAGGGTTGGGTTCGTGCCACGGACCTTCATACTGTAATCACCAAACTACCTCGAACTGGAGGGAATAGGATCGGTAGCCGAACTTGTAGAGGTCTGTTGCAGGCCTAAACGCGATGGCAAAATAGTGGCCGCCGGCATTAGTCACTTCCTTGTCATCGAGATGTCAGTGTAATTCACCATTTCCCTCAGGTTTCAGTGTAACACCTTATGACCTTCGGTATATCGACAAATAACTACCGTCACGGTGGCAGTGCATAACCATAACTCTGAGGTTGATGATGTCATGTTTAGAATGACAATGAAAACAACAAAATTCGACTTCGGGTGGTTACGTTTAACAGATATACCGGTGAGTATGTCGCTGATTCACAAGACCGATTTATTCAAGGTAGATGCATCCGCAAGTTCAAACGGTCAAGGCGGCATTGACGAAATTGTGCTCCTTCCGAATGGTTCAAATGTTTTTCAGTGTAGTAATAATCCTTCACCTATAACACCCTTTCAGTACAAGACCGCTGTGCCACCCGGAGGAAGCACTAGGGCTGGGATACTGCCAGGTTTCCCAAGCCTAGGTAGGGGAAGTCGAGAGGCAGAGGTCGGGTTCGAACCACGGGCCTTCCGAACAGTAAATTCGCGCTCTAAACTGAGACATCTTGACTCATCTTGCAATATTGGGACACATAGCGCCTCAAAGCTTCCCACACTTGTTCTTATATCCATTCTTCAGACCGCCCTATCGGGTACCCGTGAAACATGGTGGACGTGGGACGCCAAGAGGCCCAGAAAGCCCAGAATAGCCGAACATTATTTCAGTTGATCTGTGTTACCGGTCCCAGGAAACGCCGGTAAGTGAAACCATCAAAGATCAGAGTAGCGCGACCATCTTCAATAAAGGATGACTAGACTGTTAGACCGAGCACTTTTAACACTTCTCACGGCCACCTGCTGTCACTCATTTGAGTCGTACAGGTGGAGTATAACACTGCGGCGAACCTCGAACCCCCTATGGACCCGGAGGCTTATGATTTTATATCTTCTCATAACCGACACCTAGGTTCTGTTCCGGATAGTATTTCATACACCTGGTGAGATTAGGTGGTAATGCCCACATTCAAAAATAGCTCATTCAAAACAGCACGGGAAACAGCTTGACTTTAGTCGTATCGCTTGTCGTATCAATTGTCCTTCGCTGACTTACGCTGGTCCTTGAAGCATTGACTCGAGAATAGCAAGTGGGATTCCAGCCTCGTAGTGGTTGCGTTGACTAAATCTACAAATCCCGTCAAATGCTTGAGCGACGCCACACATACAAATTCCTAGATTTTTAAGGTGCATTCGATTCAGTTAACCAGTTTATCCTTTCTGACACACTTGGTCATCAAACACAATAAGTTCGTTGTATTCTCAGACCTTCGGGCGTTGAGTATACGTAGAGCTGCAAAATCCTCCATTACACAAAGTGGTGTCCCTCAGGGGTGCCCACTCTCTCCATCCCTATTTTATTTCGTGATCAACGAAATAGTGGAACGAAAGTTGGATGCTCTTCAAAACACTGGTATTCAAACAGCTGCTGATGAAAACTTTTTCGATCTGTAATATGCAAACTACATCACCGCCTTCGGATAGACGAACTGATCAAAGGCATCCTTCCCTTGAGCGTGCGATTTGCCTCCATAATTTGTAGGGTCATGCTTCCGGTCATACAATCCCTGGTACGGCAGTGAAGCATCGGTGTTGAACACTGATGTCATGCTGTCGATGATGATGATACAATCCCTGAAGAAGCCACTTACAATCCAAGGAGAGGCATTGGAATTTGTGGATCGTTTTATATGGCTTGGAAGTTGTACTAGTTCTCATTGTACTGTGACGGATGAGGCCAATGCACGAATCTGCAAGGCCGACCATGAACTTTTAATTTTTCTACTCATTCATTTGTTTTCTACGTTTACTAGTCCACTATACTTGTGATCTTTTTCAGCTGCCCGGTTTGATCCAGATTTTGACTTTGGAACTCCCGTAGCATGTATATTCCGTCCGACCATCGTTCTAGCTATGGAGAGTGAAGATAATGCTTTCCTTCAAGTTCTTTTCGACGAAACTAACAAATGCGGTCCTGGGGATGATGTCCCGCCCTCCATCAGCTTTGATATGTGGGGTACTTGCTCTATTCGTAATTTCCGGCGACAGCTGAGAATGAATCGTTCTCTCAAGTCATTAAGGGTGCATCTACTAACTTTGGTTTTAAGGTTTTGTAAAGTGGCTGGAGTTGAGCCATTTGTTTATGGAGGGACTGCACTGGGTGTCTATCGCGAGGATGGAAAAATGATTGAACGTGATAGTGATATTGATCTTGCTGCTATCGAATACGATTCGACCTCCCGAGGCACTTTCACACGGCTTTTACGGGCTTGTCTGGATAATGGTACTGAATATTCAGGAATATATAATGCCAATGATGTGGACTTCCGAGACTCTGTATCTCCTATTCGGTTAGATTTCAGTTCCGGAACGACAATGAAGCGCTGGCTGAGCGTTGACGATAATGGAGAGATCAAAGAGGCACGTTATAACGGGTCCGACTGCAAACGAGTAAAGTTCTTCTTCTCTCTTCAGGGACTTGAAGAGGCTAGTAGGTTGCTTGGTAAGAACAAGCGCATCGTAAGAAATGTTTCTTCTGACCCTTCGCTTGTTCATGTGGATCTTTTTACTTTGTCAATACACCCAGATTACCCGAACACCCATTTTCGTGTAAACTGGAATATACCAGGTGTTTATAATTGTTCGGAAAAGCCCTTCCCCATCAGTGCTATCCTCCCTTGCCGTCCTTGCACGTTTGAAGGAATTCCTTTGCAGGCACCTGCCGACCTGAAGGTCTATTTGGAGATAGAGTATGGGTATCTTGGGAGGGATGCCATATATGACTCGGCTTCTCGAATGTTCGTGCCGGTATCTCCCAATCATCGTCGCTTTATTCCACCGTGCTTACTGTGAGTGCTTTCAGGTTAGAAATTACATTGGTTGTGGTTCAAACGTTTCGCTTACAGGTTGGCAGAGACGGGTTGTTTCAGTGTCCACTATTCCCTTCACAATAGACATTAGTATGCTGCCCATCTATTCAAACTGTTATTGCTGCATTTTAATCAGGTATGTCAACAAGGCTCGTTAATCATTCAGGATCCCGGTTTCGCCTCCCCGTTTCTCCTCCGAACAATCGAACGTTCATCGTTCTAACTCGTCTTCATATGAATCTGTTCTACATTTCTCACCATGGAATGAATAACTCGTGCCTCACAACTCTAACCTCCCTTCAGTTGTACTCATGTTAATAGAAATTTAAATACAAGGATCGTATTCATGCATATTTGTGCCTCTTCATCTGGGAAAGGCATTCTGTTTGGCATCCGAACATGCGTATTACACAGGGCGTGTCTGATAATTTTATAGACTGCTATGTTTCTTCCCTATTTCCACGCATTGTTCGTCATTCAGCATGTCAGTGCGGTTTTATGGCGGGTTTCAATGAGGACGACTGATTGTGTTTAATCATTGACCTTCCATTGTTTGCTGATGGTATTTCACAGAAGCGAGCCTTTGGGATGCCGTCTTGTATGAGCGAAGATGCTATTGGGTGTATTGGTACATTGAGTTGTGTAGTATGATTTCTTGAAAATGGTACCTAATGTGACGTTGACGGCTACTAAATCGAGGCCGAAAATTGTCTTCGGGTCCTCATCGACTGGCTTACTGCAGATCACTTTTAACTACTAAAAGCATTTGGAGTTCAAGCACAACTGATGAGTAATTAGACACAAAGCAGAGTGACGCCTAAGTAAAATTGGATATGTAGTAGGGGCAATTATCACAGTCAGTATTTGCACAGTAAAAAATCACAGCTGGGATATATGTCATACCAGTCGTTCTGTTAGTCCGGTGTTCGCCATCGGTATTGATTACAGGTACCCGAAGCATCCCTGGGCATTTGAACGAATCATTTATGTAAAAGGATCTAGGATCAGAAGTTCGATAGCTATCGTCTCTACGTATGAAAACAGCTCTAAAGCCTAAATCAGATACCGTGCGTGGGACTTTGAATGTGTTTGCCCCGAGGCCTACTCGGGGACCGGTGCGGACCAAATGCACAGCGATTGCGTTGGGAATCACTCCATATTCTACTCTAATTGACCATTTGGGAATGTACTCCATCGAGCACCCATTTTCCTGGAAGGTGTTCCAAAGCGATTACCTCGAGGACACATGGACAGTCTATGTTGGTCTTTCAAAACTACTTAACTAGATCTCCTACCCTCAGGAACACCGTACAGTGCGATGCACATTGGCTTGGGTTTGGATATGACCGAAAAGTAGTGAGATTTAAACTGGCCTCATGTTATCCACCGCATTCATGGCCTCTCTCAGAGCACCCTTCTGGACGGCATTCACAAATCAAATATTCTGAAGGGCTTATTTATACTTTTGTGCACCACTACTCGCCCGCTAGTTTCCCCATTCACCACAGAAAATAAGATGATTAGTTTGTACATTATAACATCAGTGGTAAACGTTTACCGGAATCCTGAAACCTTATTTTCTGAGAGTCTCGAACACACTAGGAGCCCGTCACTACAGTCTTGTTGCCTATTCATCACAAGCTGATGGAAAGTCTACAAATGGTCAACGGTCACTCGTGCTAGTGGTTAGCTCACTCCAGTCTAAGATTATATAAATAATGCGCACCTAAAATTCATGTCAGTTCGCTTCGATGTACTCGTTATCGAAACTGCTCACCACCATATGTTCAACTGCACTACAAATTTTCGCGGTTCCTTTCATCTTAGTCTATTCGCTTTCAGCCTCCCTACCATGAGAACCATTTCTACCCTGAATCGCCTCACCGAATTCCGTAGTCTCCTCCGGTCCCGTCAGTTGCAGGCCTACATTTTACACTCGGAGGATGAGCACTTTAGTGAGTATGTTGATCCAGCCGATAGACGATATTCGTTCCTCTCGGGCTTTACTGGCTCTGTGTGCACAACAGTTGTGACCCTGGATAAGGCCGCGTTGTGGGCCGATGGACGCTACCACCTGCAGGTGCGTGTTCATCTCATTCTACATTTACTTTGTTTATTGCATGCTACTTCGTGATATGTGCCCGTTATCCATGGTCTTGAATGTGTGACTGTACCTGTTCTCAGCTTTCTTTGTCGCCAACGAGCACGTATAACGAAGCGTTATCCCTTGGGATAACCACATAGTATGGTGATGGGTTAGAGTTTATTTTGCATGGCCATGTATGGGAACTACTGTTTTGGTCAGTATGCGAGGATCCTAATCTCTTGCTTCCAAGCATATGATAGAAACTCTGGGTCTGAGATTTCAAGCAGTGCTACATCTGCCGCCCAGGCCCCTTGGTGTGTGAACCTGGTACCCTCTTCGCCAACTAAACTCACCTAGGATCTCGAGCGCCTGAAATACAGTGAGGTTCCTGACAATTCGGCCTCAGTCTTGTTTGAAGAAAAAAGATCGTCTCTAAGTTTATTACCACGGAACGTTTCGACTGGAGAACTGAGTCCAGCTGACTGGATTCCCGCCATCGTAACCTTCAGCTTAAAAAAGGACGCACGTTTTGACAATGAATCATTCCATCGTCTATCTAATCAACAATTCTGGAAGGTACCGTCCATTATCGGTCGTTTCCAAGTGATAGACTTGGAGAGTATGCGGATAATACTGTTCTCATCGGAGTCCAGATCTTAACCTGCCATCTTGACGTAGTGGTCGGGCTTGTGTGCTGCAAGGATCCTGCGAGTCATATTGGCCGGAACCTCGTTCTACAAGGTGCAACCATGCCAGGAAGGTCAAAGGGAAGCAGTCCGGTCAAGATCAGCGAGATGCCGTGCTACGCGTAATCGTAATACGAAGCGGTCTAGGAGTAAAGTGGTACTGTCCTCTGCGATGGGAGTGTGAATGTAGTAGAGTGTTCCCCTCAGACGCCCAGTATGTCTATATTTGTCGAAGCAGTAATGTCAGCTTTCTCCGAGGCCAAAAGGGATATAACAGATCGGCTCTAAAAACCGCACACATTGCCAAACGGTTAACCGTGACCACCGGCGCGTTATTCACTACGGTCAAAAGATTTCTAGAACCACAAAGTCTGATGGTGCTCTAAAGGCACTTCCTGTCCACAGCCTCATCAAGTGTGAAACATTAATGCCCTACTCTCTGCCCAGCCCCGTGCATCCCAATAGGTCAGATTATTGAGTCATTGGCTCTGAGTCGGGTTCCCAATAAGATCTGAACAACTGCTGCCTCTCGGGTCACACGTTTGAGTCAGAGGCTTGGGACAGAGTCTCCAAACATAACTCTACGTCTTCATGGGTCAGAGTTTTGAGTCAAAGCTTAAGCTGAGTTACCTCAACTAAGCCCCGTTCCTCAGGCTGGACGGCTGGGAAGTATCCTTTTCCTGCACAATTCCTTGTCCATCTATGTCCCTCCCCAACGACTTCCCAACACAGAAGCAAAAGTTGTTGGATTGTTTGATTTTTAGTCACCTGGTTTATGTACCTCGCGCACCCCGCTGGATACTAACAATAAGCAAAATAGCACCTTGCTAAAACCACAAGATCCTTTCTACATAAGCGTCCTTAATGTCCGTACTCTGTCGAATTTGCAAGCAGGCAATGCTCACCGAGACCATATACTCCCCTAAAATAGATGTATGCTGTGTCTCTGAAACACGCCCACAGATATCAAGTATGCACACCTAAGAACTATGATCCACAGATCCATTGTAGTAACCAAGGATGCGGGTGGACGGTGTCTTGCACGATGACTTAGTAGCCCCCACGTCGATTCCGTAGGTACGACAGATCAAGGGTGTATTTTAAGGGACAACCTTCAAATTTCATCATTCCAATGACGCAACATACCATCCGAACAGAGGCCAAGACACAAATTCCGTGCACCGGGTTTTCATACGTTTTCACACTATTGCGTGTCTGAAAACAGCGTGAAGACGAACCTGTTACGCACATGTGATTGGAGTCTCGTGACAATTTTCGTCCGAATGGCAGGGATCCTCTTTCAGATACGGTTACGCAGGGTTGGTCCCTTTTAAACTATTCGGATGGATGCATCACCCCTAGGACAGACCGGGCATTGAGAGGACACAATTTTGCTCTCTCATTACCATCGGCAACACCAGATGGAAACACTTGTGATTGATTACCCCACAACCATGCCAGTTTACTAGAATAAAACCTCGTAATTGAAAGAAGAAACAGATGGGACAGGGAGGGGTACCCTGGACTACCAGAAACGTCTTGGACATTTAACACTCACTTAGACAACTGGGTGGAAACCAACATTGGTTAGTCGCGATATCGTTCAGTGTCTACGGCCAAGCACAGAGAGAGTCACGTCTATCCCGTACTGGAAGGAGAACATCATCCATCCCCTTCTGTCGTGTCAAATTCCGTCCACCTCTGGGTCTGTGTCACTCCAAATTGGGGACGAGAAATAATCCTCTTATCGGTAGACGGTAATTCGGCTTGCGTAGTGCATGGCTTAGCTACTTAGCTTGCAATTTTTCAATGCATTCTTTGAGTGAAATACCGTCCGCTTCACGAAATACCCGTTCCCTCATTACAAATTTGCTGATTCTGGGCGATTCCAGCCATAGTTCTGAGACGTCGGCGGCCTAAGACCCGAAGATGTTTTATGTCCTCCTACCGAAGCAGCTAATCCTTGCATCCTTACAACAATACAGCCTGCATTTCAGTCTGCCACACCCGTCCTGTGAGACGCGGTAATGTGCCTTTTTTGATGCCACAAGTGGTCCTAATTTAGGAGAGCACTGCTGGCCTTTGATATTTGTTCGTTCGTAGCTAACATCGGAGCTAATGCGATATACGTATAGTATCAGTATCATTCTTTGGATTCTTACAGCCACGTTCAAAGACCACAATGTGACTATACACTTTCTGAGTGCGAAGCACAAGCCAAAGAACCAGATGACTGGTCAGATTTTCTAATAATGCTTAGGCTTCCTTCTCTTCGAAAATTGTCATCTGCATATTTCAGGTTGATAAGGTTCTCTCTCAGAGGGATATCAATATCATCTTTTTGGAAAGACTTCAGAGTTCGCTTTACTACTTGATCAATGACAACGAAACAAACATGGAGAGGGTAGACATCCTTGTCGGACACAACTGCTTTTAGTAAAGCTTCTGGAGGGCTTACCATACACTCACGCAACCACAATTGGATGCAAAAAGCGCAAACTCACGCGGTGTGCCCTGTTGTGCAGGTATGTTGAAAGAGCAAGTCGGTAGACATAATCGAACGCACTCTTGAAGTCAAAGAACACCTAGATTTCGGAGCACCTCTGCACATATCGCGGCCCTAACACATGAAGGAGTGTGGAGATGTAGTTCACGCAGTCTTTCGGGCCGGTGTCATGTTTGTTGTTCCCGTGTGCCCTATTCACGCGCTCGTATAAGACGGCGTGGGATAAGCAACGCAATGAGCCTGGTTACAATGGGGTTGAATCTAATTCCTCTGTGATTGGCACGCTCACTGCGAGCACCCTTTTTAAAATGGACACTACTGTTGACTCTGGATGGCTGAGATAGATAGAGACGAATATATTAAACAAACACTTATTGAGAATTTAACCTTAATCAGGACCAGCAGATCTGTGAGCCTGTGGGAAGAAAAGGCACTCACTTACTTCTGAAGCCCTCGGGGGTTCCAAGTTCACTGTCCAGGGCTGCGTTGTTTGTTGGCAATCCGGCTGAGCGATTGCAGAGGGTCAGGGGAATTATTAAAATTACGGCTGGCTAACCAATATAGTCTTCAGCAAGCTGATTCTAATGCACCGGTTTTGCCCTGTCCGATCACAGCAAGAAAATTCTTGACATAAAACTCCATAACATCGCTCCACGTCTTACTTCACTGAGCAATAGGCTGATGTTCCAAACCTAAATGATCATGACCAATACATACGTTCCAACACTGCACTTTTCATGCGACTACAATGGCGATTTTTCGTCGAAGTTTATCGAATTCGAAAGCCGGTTAGGTTATGTTGGGAGACTTCGGTAAATGTGTCTGTCGAGACTACTCGCTTGTGGCCGGACGTCCTGGTATTTGGACTATAAACGCCAACAATGACCGGCTTCTCAGTCTTCGAGCAATTCACGCGCTCGCTCTCACACGTGATTTTGCCTCGAGCAGCAACATATCACTACGTGGATGCACCCATGCAGTGCCCAATCTTATCTATTCGGTTGCTTTGTCTTTCATTAACAAGCAGTTCGAGAGTGTTGCCAGGGACCGATTATTGGGCAGGCCGCTAAGCTGTCCGAACAAAGCTTAAAATTCAGTCGACCGCATTAGTGAGCGCACAAAAATTGACGTTCACCGTCGCAGAGGTCCTGAGATTAGGTCGGTGAGTTAGCACCAATTGACCTGATTACTGGCAGCGTTGAAGTGCATGCAGCCCGCAGACATAAGTGTGCTGCAACTTGAAGCATCAGTTGATTATGATGATGGTAGTCAGGCGGATCAAACAACAGCTCCCAAGACGCCCTGATCGGGTTGACGACAACAGATAGCGTATAAAATACCCAAGAAAAACGAAGTGCTTACAGAATCTATTGCCCATTTGGGGAGTGATGTCAAGAAACAGCACTTAAATGATACTCAATATCACTGTGTGTCAACTGTCCAGTTGCACTGACTTGATTTGATACCCATGACCCGACGTGTAGACATACCTCCTGTCTATGGACAATCTCGTACATCAGCAAGTAACTATTGATTGAAACCTCTTAATCCATCACGAATTTCGTAACAATGATCAGATTGCCTGTTTTGCGAATTTTACAGTGACCTGATTTTTCAACATTGCATTCGCATGTTTGGAGTATGTATTCGCACGCAGAAATGTCTCTTTCCGGACTTTACTTTTGTCTTAGGCCTCTCACGAGTTGGATGGTAACTGGGTTCTCATGAAGAAAGGTCTCCCTGATGTTCCTAGTGAGGCTACTTGGCTCTCTCGGAACACTCCACCGGGATCCAGGATCGGCTTCGATCCCAAACAGATACCTTACCTGCAGATCCAGGCATACCGTAGAGAACTGGACGAAGCGCAGTTCGAAGTGGTTTCCAGTGGCGATTTTTCGGACAATGCAACTCGTTCAGAGTCCCGCCGACTAGTGGATGTTCTTGGACCTAATCTGATCGACCTTGTATGGGACAAAATGTCTGAAATCCCAGAAGAACAGTGCAGTCGACCTGTTCGGAAGGCAAATCCTATCACTAATGTTCCAATCTCATTCGCGGGACAAACGTGGCAAGAGAAGGTGCAACGAATCCGTGTTTTAATGGACCCCAAGCGGGTTTCGTTATTAGCCATCTCAACATTGGATGAAATAGCCTGGTTGCTAAATTTGCGCGGTAGTGATGTCATATACAATCCGGTTTTCTTTGCCTACTTGTTGGTCACACTAGATGCTGTCCACTTGTTCCTGAATGCATCCTCTGTAGCTGAGTCACAAGGCGTCTTGAAAACGCAGTTTGGTGATCCGAGCCTGAATGTAAGTTTGCCTTATTGTTTCAGTCGGGTTTCCATTTTACACCAGCAACCGATATTACATGAATTTTAGAATATTGGGTGATCGCGCCCTTGCGGTTGGTCGCTTTTCCCGAATGTAAATGGGAATACTGCTGTCCCTCTGCGCATTTGTCCAGTGGTGGCCGCGCAATGGCGCGTGAGGTATCGTTCGATAGTCAAGAATGTGACTGGCAGAGTTTGCAGACAAGTTGTTGTCTATCCAGAAGCTTTACCGTCAAGCGTGTCAGGGGTGCGCTTTTTTGGTGGCTAAGAACTGTTTGATGTCAGAACCCTCGTTTAAACCGTGATCACTTTGGTAATGCTGTCCTTGGCCAACGTTTCACATATCTGGTAACAGTGAAGCACGGTACTCAGCATTGGCTTCTTCCACGGGTGTAGATCAGGTTCTCAGTTATTACGCGACATCGTCAGCGTCACCCAATTACTGATATCCTTTTAATTCGTTCGTTCTCATACGCTAGCATCTGAAGTTTCTAACATCGTTGTTATCCAGGCTTGACCTAATGGTAGCTCCACTGCTTTTCAACGGACAACACCGATCATTGCCGATTAACTTTTTGGATGGAAAGAAAGCTTTGCATCAGCCTTTGTTCCAGCGTCCTATCGCGCTAGCCGTTCTCTCCACAGAGTGATCACTGCAGATGTTCAGGAATCCTAACATTTTTGCTTGTTTACTTCAGCACTTCGTATGCCTTATGTTCGAGTTTCTCGGTGAACATGTATGGAGTACGTACATGAAGTAAGAGTAAATTTTCATAAAGGAAACTACTCACAAGGTCGATGAAACTCTTCGACAGCGATATGTCAAATATCGTACCAACTGAAACATGAGGTGGCCTGTGTGCAGCACATTCAGTTGAAGAAGATCAGAAACGAGAGATTCATTTGAGTCACCCGTGAAAGCCAAATTGATTTGCAAATGAATGTATTTGTCTTAAGGGCAAATTCGTCTCCATCACGAAGAGACTGGAGCTTACCGTGGTGTGGCGGTTTGTGTACCTCGGAGACCCATTGAGCTATACTGGGGGGTGTCCGCGCGTCACTCACAGAGTCTCTCATACCAGGTTGGTCAATGGTTAGAGGTCTGACGAACACAGTCTCCTGGTCCTCCAGGTT